TTCAGCTTTGGTGACTGTTTCTGAGGGGCTGTTGGGGAGCAGAAATCTTTAAGCACAAGTGGCTTCCTAAATGCTGGTGACATTTATTTATTCTAATAAGGCCTCTTGTGGTGAGAGGCTTTAGTAGAATTACCTGCCATTAGCAGTATCAATACAAACCTAATTTTCCTAGCACAGACAAGGTGTACGGGCAGGCCTGGCAGCACCAATTTGTTTCAAGCAGCAGGACTGGTGGGGGTAGCCAAACTCTGTTAATTTAAGTAAGCCTAAGTGCAGTGAATTCCCTGTAGTAAATACCACACACTTCTTTGGCTGTGGTACACGATGTATCCAGTCACACTGTGCTTGCCTTCAGTTTAACTTCTTAATTACACAGGATTGACCCACGGCTTGCCCAGTGCAGATGGGGCTGGGTGTAAATCAAAAGGCACATAAATAGAGGCAGGGGGAGGAGAGGAGTTCAGCAATGCACATGCCTCAAGAAGTGGTGCCCGTGTTCACTCCCAGAGCACTGCTGGTGAACACGTGGGAAGTGAGGTGCAATACCAAGGTGTGGCTGAACGTACGAGGATTGGCTGCAAGTCTACACAGTGGGATTTAAAAAGCTAAACTAAAGACCAAAGTTTTGAAGTAAACCATGCAAATGGAACTCGGCTTCGAGCTCAGAAAATGATTAGTATTTGCCATAAAGGGTCCACCTGTAACTTGAAATGGGTTAATTAAAGAGAGATTTTAAGTTCAATGGACTAACAGTAATTTCTGGTGACAGTGAAACGTTTCCTCAGTTCCATCATTTCATACAGACAGTGTTCTAGTTATCATAACCCAGATGTGAGATCTTTAGAAAATGAAGGTAGTGAAGGCAGCTCTTTGGTGGTAGCAACAAATTATGACTTTAGACTAGATTATTTCTTTAAGAGAACCTATTCCAAAATACCCCACCTATGATTTAGTAGAGCTGAATTTGAGAGCAGCTGATGAATCTGCCTGCCTGTTGCACACAGATTTTGTACTCCAGGGACCAGTGTAATTTGCAGTTGGGAAGCTTCTTTTAGGATTTTGATCCCCACCCTAGAAAACAGTGGCAGCCCTGAGCAGGATCTAACTATATTCAGTAGTAGAAGTGAAACATAAAATACATGCTTAAAAAAAGAATTGAATGTTGAATAGTTTCAAGTTGCTGTTGAGATGTTCTTAACGTTATTTCTGCTTCTATGATGAATGTCCACAGATGTGGAGAAGACAGTTACTGTATTTTTCTTTTGAATGATGATAGGAGCCTGACAGTAGCAGGGAAACAACTGATATTCAAAAAGGCCTGTCAAATGTTGTAGTTTCACACTGGTGTCAGTTACTGTGGCTATGAAATTCGGAGCCCATGTTTACAGCTTATTGACAAAACTGTAGAGTATGCAAGACTGACTGGCAGTAGAGTGTGTAATCAAAATAGCAGATGAGAATTCTGATGCCAAATAATAATATTGTGTAACTAGACACTGAAGAGTACTGGCCAATGGTAACCTCCTTGCTAGTGCAGTGTCCTCCAGTGCTTGCCTCTTCTGTTTCATGATGAGGATAACAGCCCTCTTCCCATAGCTGTTGACTTCCAAAAGAAAAGATGGGTCTGGCAGAAGCTGTTTTGATGAAGTTCTCATGTTTTCTGAAATTCTGGTGATGCCATCTTTAAAATTTAACAATCAATTAGTGAAAGGCTTTTTTGGGGGATGCAATTACAGGTTAATAATCTGGCAATGTGGCTGTTGCTGAGGAAACGAAAATTTAATTTTCTGGCTCATTTCAAACGTGGAGTTGAATGACATTTCTGTCTTTACATTTAATGAACAAATTGTTCCAATATTTGTCAGATTTAATTAAGGTGGGGAGTTTACATGGGTAAGAGGGAGGCTGCTGCAGCAGCCATAATAAACTGGTGTTCATTGTGGAAGAGAAGGCATAAAACCAGCATTCCTCACTGTCTGTGCAGTGTCTGGGCTCTGTCTTAGTTGTCTATATTAAAAAAAAAACAAAGCCTAAGGTAGGCATGATAAGTGATTGGTTCACTGCCATAGAGCAAAGGAAGCCATGCAGAGAGAAGCTGGGGCGTGTTCCTTTCTGCCCTTAGTTAAAAAATACAGCAAAATTTGCTTTCCCTCCTGCTAGAGGAAACTGTTTTACAACAGGGACAGCACTTGAGGTACTTCTGTTGCCATGATCTTTTATGCCTTGGCAGTAGAACTGGTGCCTTCAAATGCTATGGCTCTAAATGACCCAAATAATAAACTTCTCACACTAAGTTCCCCCCCAAAAGGGCATTAGTGTTCTCCTGGTAGTGTTCTTGATGCATCATTTGTGTTCTTCCTGCTCTTTGTTTGGCTTGCTTACCAAAAGCAGAGTCTGGACACATGAGGTCTCTTTTGATCCTTAACTTCACCTGCCCTGAGCACTGGCAAGAGGACGGTGAGGTATCTAAGAGACAGAGAGAAAAATCTAAGGAGGGCCTTAAATATCACCTCTAGATGTGATCCAAAAGAGAACATTTAAGTGTGTTCAATAGCCTTAAACTAGCCTAGCTTTGTATAACCTGGGTGGCTCTATAGCAGTCCCATCTCCATATTTCTCTTTGGTCAAACAAACGCTGACCTTTGATAAACTTTCTGAAGGGTGGTCTTCTGTATATGCTCGTACAGAAGGAAGTTCTCCATCAGTATGAACACACTTTAAAATATACTTGTGTCTGTATGCACTTTCCCCCATATGCAGATTTTGCTCTAGCAGCCACACTAACTAACCTGGAGTAGTTCAGAGAAACACTCAGGAAGCTGGTTGCAACAGAATTCCTGAAATGGGATTTTTAGTTTCTGAGTAGAACTGTTAAAAATTAACAAAATACAAGCAAGAATTTAGTACTGCCGATAACAGAATTTTTCTTTCTCAGGAAGACTATGATCGTCTGAGACCTTTATCTTATCCTATGACCGATGTCTTCCTTATCTGCTTCTCAGTGGTAAACCCTGCTTCATTTCAAAATGTGAAGGAAGAGTGGGTACCGGAGTTGAAGGAATATGCACCTAATGTTCCCTTTTTACTAGTAGGAACACAGGTATATCTGGTTCTGTTCTACTTTATGTAAACCATTCAGATCATTGTATGACGGGTTTTCTTTGGGCTGGAAGTTCAGGCCCAACAGGACCTGAGCAGGACGATTTTGGAGGAACAACCCTAACATGTGGCAGAAAACCCTGGATCTCTGTTGGTCCCTAATGAGCTACCACATTTTGTTAAAATAATGCATTGTAAACAGGGTGTCAAGATTGGCTGCATCTCTCCATGTGACTTGCTACAAAATCTTGTGACTTAGGGAATAAAATGGTCTGTTCATGCCCACATTACTGGAATCACTGGGGTCTACAACAGTTGGTCATATCCAATATTTGCTGAAGCGGAGGAGCAAGGGGAGAAATAAGACAATTGCTTGCTTTTTGTGTGCAGGGAATCAATGAGAAAGTGACCCAGATGTTGATACTATGTTTGGGTTAATCTTTCTGCCTCTGCTGGGTATACATTCTGGTATTCTGAGATGATCACACCTAACTGAAGAGCTGAACTACACAATAAATGTTTGTTTCTTCTAGATTAAAGGTAGTAGTTTACAGCTTTAATTTTGAGGGCTGTTGGATCAGGAAGGGTCCACAATCTGAGTCATGACATGACTTCATTTTTATACACTTAACAGTCCATTAAATAAATAATTCTGCTCTAGAAAGAGGTTAGCCTGATGATTTTTGTTCAGAAAAAGTATTCCAACGTGACTGCAATCTTTCTTGCTAGATTGATCTTCGTGATGACCCAAAAACATTGTCAAGACTGAATGATATGAAAGAGAAGCCCATATCTGTGGAGCAAGGACAGAAGTTAGCAAAAGAGGTAAACTGGACACTTCTAAAGGAAACCAAGTAGCAAAGAAACTAAACCCCCTATTTCCCTTTGTCTTTTTCTTTGCCTGCTTTGCCCATTTCTTTTAGCAGTCAATGTATGAAACCTTATGGCTAGTTACCAGTTAACAATATTTACTAATTGTTGAATACAGGTAACAAGAAGACCAGTGCAATAGCACTTCTGTGTTAGTAATGGTTCTGACTTATAAAGACTGCATATGCATTAGTCAGAGATAATTAAAATCACAGAGGGGTTGAGGCTGGAAGGGACCTCAGCTGCTCAAGCAAAACACTGGAAGCATCTTCCAAGAAATTATTTGAGAATGCTGAACTACCTTGTAACACACTGTGTGGCTAATGCTTGTCAGGACACTTTGTTTATGTACTTACAGATACCTTAATTTTTAAATACAAATTGGTCATATAATTCTGTCATGCTTTTTTTGCTGTTAAGTTACGAAAAATACCTGAGGACCCCACTGCCAATCCAAAGAGTTATTTAAATTACTTCCTTTATGAATTAAAGCAGCTTAAATACATTGCAGATCTTTGGCTGAAAGACAAATGTTTTCTCCTGCAGGGGGTTGCATATACAGATAACTTTTCTACACCACACTGTGGTGTCACTATAGGAAAAAAAAACCAAAATCCTGCAGAAGTGCACAGATGGAACCGAACAGATGAAATCTATGGCTATTGAATTAACTTCTTTTCTTGACAGATAGGAGCCTACTGCTATGTGGAGTGTTCAGCTTTAACACAGAAAGGACTGAAGACCGTTTTTGATGAAGCTATTATAGCCATTCTAACTCCAAAGAAACACACAGTGAAGAAGAGAATAGGCTCAAGATGCATAAACTGCTGTTTGATCACGTGAGATATGTTTGACAATGGCCAGGCTTACTGTGAAATTCTACTGAATTCAAATACAATGCATTAAATACACAGTGAACTTGTCACAGGTTTGAAAGCTAAAACTACAGTTCTGCCTTCTACAAACCGTGAAATGCACAGGAATAAAATCAAACTCAACAGACTTGTAATAAGAAGCCACCACATCTGTTACAAATATTTTATTCAGACTGGAAGGTACAATCTCTCAGGGTTACATAGTCTAGAGGAAGCAAAAACTGCACCACGCTGAAACAGCATCTATAGGATTTTATTGAGTGGAGATGCTTGGCCTGAAATACTCTAAATGAATTTGGGTAGTCTTCTGCTTTGACTATACATATATATATATATATACATATATTAAAAAAAAACCCAACCAACTTTTGCACAGTCTGTATGGAATCTGCACAAAGAAATACCTTGTCTCTCTTTGCTCCAGTTATCTGCTTTTGTATGTAAGCTGCTTCCGGTTCCAGTGTATCCACAGAGGTGCAATAATGAGACCAGCCATATAGCCAAAGGTAGCTCCGAGGGAACAGGAGATGGGCCATACCTGAGGGGAGAACACAAGGGAAACACAGACAGTCAGGAGAGTGTTTGTGGTTGTCTGTACTTCGTGAGCACAAATTCTCAGCGTCATCTAGGTATAGAACGACAGGACAGTCTTACCTTACCTTAAAGCTTGACGTGCTTTCCTACAAATGCCAAAAGTGTAACCATCATCTTCGTGAACACTAAATGCTGTTGTACAGGTTTTAATTAATATGCATTAAAATGTAACCAGGCTTCTCGGTATCGCAGGCTTTAGTTCGATAGTCCCAAAATGATGTGAAAAAACTTTGAAGTCTTTACATCCCCTGAAGTGTTCCTCCAGCCTGACTCCCTGTTCTGCTGCACGTGGGTAGAAACCTCCACGTTTCCTGGCGATTTCTACAGTGTTCTGAAACTTCTAGAGGTGTGTATAAATGAACTAATATTGGAGTAAGGCCAGAGACTGAGATGGATAGAGGGTTTTCCCTTCTAATTTTTTGTCTTGAAAAGTAGGCAAAGGGACGAATTGCCCTCTGGATAGCAGTAGGGAGGGAACAGAAATTTGGAAACTGGCTGACTGTCTTGCGTGCAGTTCAGCAAACATCAAGTAAGCCAGTTATGGTAAAGAGAGCTTTAATTGTAAGCTCTATTTCCTCCTATAAGAACAGGGAACTGAGTCAGTAGAGCTGACTCACTTTCACAAGACATCTGGTACTGAGGCAAAGAACAAATGGGATTCTCCCGCTGCCCCCCCCTTTGGTTTTTTTAATTGGTGTTGACTCGCAGGGAGGAGTGGCCAAAACAAAACTTAACCAGTCTATCCTCAGATGTAGCTTACATTACTAGTCAATTACACACTGCATTGGACGAGTTTTTCAACTAAGTGGTTGATTAAAAGCATTTATTATAGAATAAAATGAATTAATTCCCATCCCTCTTCAAAATTCTCCTTTTTATATGTTTTTTTTGCAAGGACAGTTTTGCACTTCCTGCTGCACAGTGCATGTTCCTGAAGCGAGTGCAGACTGCACTCTCCCATTCTTTTAAATCTTTAAATGAAGGGGGTATTCTCACCTTCTGTAGTACTTGAGACAGAGAAATGCACTAGACATTAAAGAAAATATCCACAGCTTAGTGTCCAGCCTTCTTTTCTACTTCATTTTCACCTGCAATTCATGATTATCTAATGAACTTACTCTGAATGATACTGGTTCCTCTATTAATTCATTTTCTGACTCTTCATTATCATGTAGAAGAACACATTTATTCACATCCTTTTAACATGGGAATTTTAACTAGGAATAAGAGTAAAGTATTTTGTCCTCTGCTGTTTCATCTTCACATTCCTTAGCATTTGCAGTTTTATATATTATTTGGAGGTCTTAAGGAGTGTAGCAAAGATGACTATAAACAAGGTGCCTTAGGTACTCTTTATTGACCTTGTTCCCTTCTTCCATTTCTGGACATTCTGTCTCTGCTACTTCTTTTTGTTGCTGAATACTTTTCCTGTTGCCTCTCAAACCAAAGACTTGCTTGCTTTCATTCATTCAACAGTGGTATTGCAGATCTCCTATAAAAAGCCTTGAGATCCTTTGGCATGGTAAGATATTATGTATATTTAAAACTCAAATGAGTTTGTGGCCTTGGCTAAACTTACGCTTCAGGTGGATTTTTCAACTTTTAGATGAAATGTAATTAAGTTATTTCTAGCATTTTGCATATTACACGTCTAAAGGACAAAACAATAAAAAAGTCCCTGCAACCTCAGCTGCTCACTCACTAATGTTCAGTTGGAACAGGAGTTGTACTTTCTCATATGCTGATGAAGTCAAATACCACTCTGATATCCACAAAACTATGGATGGAGGCTTCATAACTGTGGTCTTTTAAAATCAAGTTCTGACTGATAAATGTTCCTCATTAAATTTTACCTACATTAGGTGAATCTGTAGTTGCCTATATGCTTTCCATAAGTATAGGTAGGTGTTGGACTCTGCATTTTTCATGTTTGCTTAATTAGAGACTCAATATCCCCAGTGACCCACTGACCCTGTATCTTTTGGTATTTTGTGTATATGAGCAATTGTTGGTACGATTAAAAGGATCTCTATGATTGTTGTAGCTTCTTTTCCCTGACTGAACTGCAACTTGGAACATGGTTTTTCAATAGTGCTGTAACATTTATTAGTAGTTATGCCTCTGTCTTCCAAACCATTCGGTTTTGCTTTGCTTTTTAAAAATCAGTGTTACCTTACAGAAGTTTCAGGCTGTCTCACTTAAGAGATGAGTCTCTGGCCTCTGAAATCCAACCCTCACCAATGGCAACTGGCAAAGGGAAGAAATGGTAAAGACTCCATCTCACTTTCTATGAGAGAGACATTCATAGACAGTGAGATGGAGTGAAAAGAAACACCACCTCATCCTTTATAGTGGCATAGAACAGAAGGGTACTAGGCCAGGTACTCACTCGTATTATGCTGGTCAGATGGCCCAAAGTAGTTCTGAAGGCAGTTTGACTGGCATTTTGAAATCTCCTTTAAGCACAGGAGTTAAAAGCCTGGACTTGAAAGTGTTGCAGTCCTTATGCTATTTTCTCTAACCTTCAGGGCAGGGGGGAAAAAAAATCAAAACACCACAACAAAAACAAACGAACAAAAAAACCTAACAAACAGGTGATGATACTAGTTTTACACTTGTCTAGTTTTATTCTTGACTGCTGGCCTGTAGCCTACATACAGCCAGACGCACCCATGGATCTATCTAAAGCAGCAAGTTATCAAAGACAGATGAAGATGTCTCCTAAGCACATCAGCTGCACTAAAATAACAGGCCCTGCAGGTGCTTTTTGTCTGTCTATGAAAGTGCAGTGCTCTATTTTGCATTAGCTGCTGGCCTCATTTTTCTGAGACCCAGTCACTTTCTGCTGGACCTTTTTAAATGAATTTTACTTGCTTGATCAGTCTGCTTTTGCCCTGTCCTTCATATTCTCTCTTAAACTTGATTTAGCTACCCTGACCTGGTATGGACTGCCTCTAAATTATAAAAATCTAAGCATCTAATACCTGTCTGCCTGTTCTAAGAGACTCTATTCCACTTGCTTTAAGTATTCAACTTGTAATACACCCCTCTTAGCCCCTGAGAAATGCTTGGCTTAGTCTCTCCTACTTTATGCTCCCTTCTGCCATGAGGAAGCTGACATATCCTACTGCAGTACTGAAGTCATGTCTAGGCTGGGTGAGCAGCAGGGGAATAAGATGTTAGGCAACGTCGCTAAGCTGGGCCAGCAGTCCGGGAATGAGACGTGAGGCAACGTTGCCTAGCTGCGCTGTTTTTGAGGAGGAAGAAGGATGATCTGGAGAGAAAAGGGTGAGGGGTGTGGGAGACAGGACAGAACGTTCTGAACTTCAGGAGACTGTCATGAAAAGCCTTGCCTGTCTTGTCTGGCAGGGCTGGGAGGCATCAGCTGCTGTCCTCACAGCCTAATGCAGGAGCCGGTCTGCATGGCAAATGGATGTGGAAAAGGGCAGTTTGCACAACCTGTGTATGATTACCAGGAATCTGAACAGCAGCTTGGCAAAAACCAATCTCCACCTATGTGCTTAACAAGCACAAAAACTGCATTTTAAAGGACAGAGCCTGAGCCAGTGGCTACTGCAAAACAATCCCGACTTCTGCTATTTGTTTTTCTTTTTGCCTTTTCTTGTCATCTGGCAGCAGTGATAGGACTTCACAGAGATTCCTTTAGGCTAGCTTAATAGATCCTGCAGAACTACATGGTTTCTAGTACAAATATTAGAACTCATTTTAAGAGAAATGACTCCAAATAGGAATTTGGAGCCTTTCAGGACACAAAGGAGGTAGTTTTCTTGGAGCTGTTTAGAGTGCCTGTGAGCTGATGGGAGGATGCTTAGCATATTGCATGGAAAGCAGAGCATGTTGCAGGATCCCAGCAAGGTATCTGGCTCTGCTGTACTATGCATGTCGCCAGGTACACCACAATTCTGGCTGCATGACACTTGTGTCATCTATTACAAGTCTGTAACTCATGTCCCATGCAATGGGAATTACTTAGACATAAAAGCCAGAGCACCAACACCCTAATAAAGTTTTTACAGATACTATAAGGTAAGCAGCTACCTGCTGGAACTTGGATTACACAAATGCAAATATGGTGGGGCAATCTATTGTACTTATTTTTTATTTTTAGTAAACTGGTCCCATTCTTTAGATGTGTGCTTTTCTCCTAGTCCTAAACTCCAATGTTTTTTGTATGCTTAGTATTTCAAAAGATTCATTTCTGACTGTCAATTAGAAAGCTATGTAATAATTTTTGTTTCATTTTAAAATTAAATAAACGAGCACAATTATTTTCCCTCCCTGTTTCTAACATGCCTTAAATTCCTGATTGTTTAGTCTGTACTGTCTTAAAATTTTCATTACATGCCTTTAGTCTATTTTGGTTGCATGCCCATGGTAACTAAAAGTGTCTTATCACATTGTACAGAATGTGTGTGTTGACAAGCACATGCTAAGAAAAAAGTGTGAGGTTTTTTTCAGGCTGCCATTTGTAACTAGGAGTTGGTTTTGTGGATTTGTGTTCTAAAGTTATAGCAAGTGTAACTGCCTTTGATCTCACCATTAAGGTTTACAATAAGAAAACATATCATTAAATAAACAACAATAACCACACTCAAGTGGAACAAGATTCTACCTCCTTTAAAAAAACAAACAAACAACAACAAAACTCAAACACTGGCTATTATCCCTTCTACTCACATAAAAGGAACTTCTTTTACAACAAAACTTTCACAGTTGGTAGTAGGTCCAAAAGCAAATACAAGAAGGAAACTGATCTAAGAATAACAAAGTAGTGTGAAAATTTATAGTCCTATTTCCTCTTACTTGAGTAATTATCAAGGACTGTACCCAAAGTTCTCCAGATTACTTTTCAGGTTGCAAGTGTCTGAGAATTATCTGGGCTAAATTACATGGCAGTCAATTGACTCAAATTTGAGTTCTATCAGCACTACCTACTATGTTTGCAGTATCCAGTATGAAGTGGGAACACATTAATTTCACTTTTACCTAATTATATGAAAACACTGTAGGCAGAATATTTTTTCAAAGTTGCTTTTATCTTTAGTAACAGGTACAAGGGATCAAAATTATGCTACGAAAAACTCAGACTGAGGGGTGGGCATGCACACAGTAAACCCAGGAACGTGATGTAGAAGTCTGATCAAAACGTGCAGTAAACTGAGGAACTTCACAATTTCCAAAATTCAGTTGTTGTCAGTGATGAATGGGGTGTCTAGAATAACAGTTCTACCACCTAGAAAGTGTGCTGATATTGTTTTGGTCTTTAATTGCACCATCTTGTTCTGCAACGAAATTGCTTCTCGTAGTTAGTGACACCTAAATTCTGTTTCAGTGGTGGTGTGCTTTAAGGTGCCACTTCTCAGGTGACACAAGTCCAGGAACCTAATCATGTGGTTATTAAAAGTACACCATCAACCTGAAATAGGCAATCTGAAAAAAAAAATCGAGCAACTGTAACAAAGGAAGTTATTTTCTATTTCTTTGCTAAAACTCCAGCTAATTGTACCCACTGTGCATCAAAGGGCTAGAGGCAAGTGGAGATGGATATAGAACTCTCAACCTTTGGAGCATCATCTACAATAGCCTGATAAACAATCATAATTATGTGTTACAAACAATTTTAAAAATTGTTTAAAGCATTATACAGTAATCTCGAAACACTGGCAAAATTATTCTATAATCTGACATAATAAATTGAAATGTGCTGCAGAGTAAGTACTGAAAAGTTTAGTGGTTTGGTTTTTTTTGTGGGGGCTTTTTGTTTGTTTTGGGTTTTTTTTGGGGGGTGTTTGGTGTGGTTTTTTTTTAATTTTTATTTTTTTAAATGCAGAAACATAACTATTGTAGGGACTACCTTGCATTCCTGTAAGTAGACTGTCTTTACCTTTGAGGTGGGCTCAATTCTGCAGACCTGTAGCTAAGAACAACCATAGAAGAGGCCTCCCTGACCAACTGTTCTGCATAGCTACAAAATAACTTTTTCTGGAAATGAGCAGAGGGACAATAGGCATAGACAAATTAAGTTTAAAAACTACTTGAAGAACAACAGAATAATGAAAAGCAATGAATCATCAGGATACCAACTGAATTCCAGCAATATATTTTATACTTCTAACAGAAATGCTTTATATATTTTTCAGTACTATTCTGAAATATAATTCAGATAATTGATGTAATTTTATTTCCAAAACAATATTCTGTTCCTCGTAAGTAATGTTTACTCAGCATAAATGCTACTGTATGCTAAAAAATGCATTTTCCATTATTATTTTTAAATGTAGAGAGGCCTGCTAGTCTGAACGTCCCCTGTATGCAATATTTTTCAAATATAAACATGGAAAATAAAGTGAAGATTTTCTGAGACATCTGTATTTATCTTGGTTTTGTTGAGTGTCACGGGAGGTATGTGTAAAGAACCAGTATGTTTTCTCTGGTTTATTCATAACTCAGGATGAAACAGCATTTTGGTTTTAGTCATTAGCACGAGTTGGAACTCCTGATGATGAATATCATACCAAGCTTACTCCACAGAGGTCTGAAGTACTTGAAGTAGAAACAAATTCTAGTGACAGATATACAGGATAGAGTGACATCTGATACTCTGATCAGGTAAGATACAGGTAACAGTACTACAGACTTCTCAGCCTCTACCAATATATCTCAACCATGATGTAAAGGGATGACTACCATATAATTTTTCAGTCCTTTATTAAGATTGCAGGAAAAGATACTAGTCTCAATACAGACAGCTAAGGACTGGGAAATAGTTTAGCAAAAAATGAACCTAATAGTGCCCTCAATTGGTTTTTCTTTGAAGGTCACAAAGCAGCCACAAAGTGAGATGAGGAGCGCCCGTATGTGTCAGTGTGGCAATTCACACAGCAGCTGCTGTACAGAAACGTGCAGGCAGCTTTTTCTAACACTCTGCTGGAATTCCAGCATCTTCAGTGCTCTTTCTTTCCTTCAATCTCTTGTGTACTCCAGCTGAGTGACTACAGGCCATTTTCAGCTGAAGCCACTTCTACGAACAAAAGTGACTTCACAGAAGTGGCTTTAACATACTCCACTCTGCAAAGGGTAAATCCAAAATTGCCATTTTGGATTTACCCTTTGCAATTGTCAAAAAGATCTCTGCTTTTAGGCTAATATGAGAAACAGCTGATGTCAAAAACATGACAGCTTAGTACTCTGTTCATGAAGTAAGAAGTGATTTTGTTTTGACTGGGCTCTGATTACTTTGTAAGCCTACATTAAGATCTACATGATTTTTTTCAGACCTTGCTTGGGAGGTAGTCTGTAGGTGTTCCTGTAAGCACACCAACTGGATTGGATTCTGTACAAAACACTGACAGCCCATGTCTCTTGAGGGCAATTTTTATTTTTTTTTTTTTTTTAATAAAGAAACTCTTTCTGCATTATGTACAGGTATTTTTATGTTCAGTAAGTCAGTGGTTAGATCAGTCACTCAGGAGATATGCAATGGGTACTGAAGGTTTTCTTCCCAAACTGAGCAGATTGGCCACAACAGCAGAATCATTTATGAGGGCCATTCTTCTTTTTCTTACCTTAGGCTGAAGACAACACAGAAAGCATCTCTTCTTTCATTGCTACAGTGAAAGAATCTACTATGAGGTTTTGTAATCACCTGACATCAGGTAGCAAAAGGAATGCTCTTGCAAAAAGGGGCTTCATTGCATGTGCCCAGTGAACTTCTGAAGAACAACAGAAATGCTCTCAAGATTTCTGAGAGCAGTGCAGAGCTGCTATGTGTAACTCAACACCTGTGCTGTTGAATCCATCGTGCTCAGTGGGGTTAGAAAGACTGATGTCAATTGTTGCATGAAGTCCAGTGTTTTGAGAGAACCTGATTCATATCTATCTCAGCTTGGCTGAACTAAGAATGAGTGTTTCCTGAGCAATGACTTGAAAATGGCTGGCCAGGACAATCTGAAAATTTATATATTTATTTTTGACTTCCTCCTCCCATGAGGGTGGAGATGACAGAGGAAGAAGGAAATGCAGCCAGTTTCTGCTGCTGCCTGAATTCTTAAAGGAGCACTTATGCCCAGAAACTGCTAGTGACCTGTATGTGAGGTTTCTGCAGATGCTTCATCATTCTGAGGAGTCTGATCTTTTTAGACATCTAAGCATAGATAGTAAAGCTTAACTTCTATCAGTCATGTTTGGCTTTATTGACTTGCAATTGCAAGTTTTCAAACAGGAAAAAGCTGCCAGACCATTGCCAAGCTTGTGTCTCCTGCTGTGTGGAGATGGAAGAATGGACAAATAAAGTAAAAAATTAACTGAAATATCTGTCTTAACCTACTGGTGTCTTAGTTTTGTTAATCAGAGCCTACTGACTTAATTACTAAGTTTTCTTTACGTCATTGGTGCATAAAATGTGGAATTTTTTTTTATATGCAACTTATTAACAAGGTCTGAGATGTGAGGAATAAAATAAAACTTTCCAGATGTGACATGCCATTTTAAAATCCTAGCTGAGCAAGAAAAAAATGCTTGCTTCTCATTGGAACAGGAAAGAGAATAAAACTTTGCAAGAAGGTAAGAGACTGCATTTCAATGAATCCCTTGATTTTTGGGTTACATTCATGTCCATCGTTAATTAACTAGTGCCAACACATACCTGTGTCAAATTATTGGTGAAACATTTTGCAAGAGTAAAACCCAGTGGTTTTGGAGTTTTAATAAAACCCTGATATATTGAAAAGTATTAACATACTGCTCTATTACTTTTTAAAAAAGAAATTTTAACATCTCACTACCCTGTTTTAAAGAAAGGCTGGTGGCCTAAAGGCAGGCTGTTAAGTTATGTATGGAAGACAAATTTCCACTGCAGCTGGAAGCCACAATGTCTCTACAGTGAGAAAAGTGTGTTGCCTGTTACACTAATTTCTGCAATAAACCTTTGAAACCATCTGTTTAAGAACAGGCTTGGTAGATACTACTCAGCTGAGAGTGAATGAGTTTGCTAATCTGAGGAAAAAAAAAATATCCACTGAGGCCATTTAGGAAAAAGTGTTACTAGTGACATCATTTTATAGCAATTGCAGACAAATTATGTTTAATGGAATAATTTCTCCATGTCAACAAAAACATTAAGGAAATTGCACAGACTTTTGAATGTAGAAAGACTCTGCAATGCCAGCTTCACATTTTTTTATTATGCAACTACAAAGCTACCACTTGCTTTCCTCTGAAATCAGAAGGCGAGTTTTTAGTACAGTGCTTCGGCCACACCATTTCCACAAATCAATCCAAATCCTTTTAAAATGCATTCTGTTAAGTGCTTTTATGGAAGACAGAGGGGAACTAAAACACTAGGAGAGCATCTTTCCTTCCTTACCCATAAACAAAAGCAACCAGACTGAAGGCAGACAAACCTGGGAGCCATCTTCATCATTTCACGTTTCTCCTCTTGCTTGTCTAGCTTCTGATCAAAATACTTCCAGCTCTACTTCATGATAAAATTTTCATGCAGCAGACACTCATAAATCCATAACAAAAAAATATTCAAAATAGAGGTGAAATTCTTGCATTTTACATCCTTACACGGTAAGCACAGATGCTTCCAATGGCTTTTAAAATTTTGGTATAACCCCCTAGGAACAGCTTGTGACCAAGTCCAATACACCTGTACAGTCTCAGAGCAATTTTGTGTGTCATGTGTATCCAGAAAATGAATATTTATGGTAGGTGTGTACACACTAACCTGCCAAGGCCGATCCCAATCCAGAGGAATAGGAAATGCTCCAAACCAAGCTCCAAGTATGCTGCAGATGGTAGTAATCTGTAGACTGCTTTCCCAGATAGACATGGCTCTGTGAAAACAGCACGTTACAAGGTTTCAACAGCAGCAAGTTACCATGTCAGCGTTGGATCCGATTGCTCACAAGATGTTAGAGACTACCAATAGGTAAAAAAATCCCTGTGTTTGAGAAACAGCATGCAGGTTTCTCCTGAAAGATACAAACTACATGTAATTTACAAGTTGCATATTTTAACTGTAATCACAATCTTTCCATACCACACATTCATGAGAATTTTTTTTCCCCCCCTTGAGATGTTTACTACAAAAGCTTATTTATTTTACCTGGAAATAATCCTATTGAACTTGAAACTGCTTGACTGAGCAAATGAAAATATCACAGTGATCCTGTGTGCATTGCAGGGAGAAGTAGACATGAAAGGGTAGCATGGGAGTGTATACAGTGCCAAGCACAGTCACAAAGTATTCTGTGCTATAGACATGTTGTTATTTGATGACCACGACAGTTTGAATAATTTAGAAATCCACTGTGTGAATATTCCAAAGCAAATTTCCATCAACTGAAAAGAAATACTGTAAATAAATGTCACCTGCACCTTGCAGCACTTCAGCAACACTGCATTCAAGTTCCAGTACACTGGCTACAGGATAAATTTACTGCATGCTGAAGCTTGGATTGCTGATCATGGCACATATCATACTTTAAGAGATGTTAATGACTTTAGTTCTCTCCGTTTATAACCTTCTACCACTGCTGACTTCAATAGTTTTGGAAAAGCTGAGTTTCTATTTAACAGATAAGTACTTATTGTCCATCATCAGTCTACCAAGTGATTGCTTTGCTTTTCTCAAGCCATGAACATTTGAGTACTTGGTACCAACTAAGAAGCAAGAACAGCAGAAGTTCAGAAAACAGCAGGGCACAGTTCTGAGGCAGGAGAACAAGGCTGAAATCACTGCTCCAAACCATTAAAGTAAGAGATCTGATTCTTAAGTTTGCTACAGCTCAGATTATGAACACAGACCTAGCTTTAGCTAACAGAAAAAACAAAGATGTGCATTTTTTTGGCTAGAAGACAGGATGAATAGTAAATACTGAACTTCCCATGTGCTGTTTAGCTTGCATGACATGAGAACTTTAACACTACACCTTGTTTAGAAGAGTCTAAAACTCCTGACTTTTCTCCTGAGCACAGCTAACTCACTGCTGCATTTGTTATCGACTAAATGGCTCACAAGTGTAAAGCAAACAGTTTTCATTGTTTGCAAAATAAAGGCCATACAGATTATAATATTTACAGTGCAGTGTTGCCATTTTGAGCAGAACTGTTTCTTCCCCAGTAGCCCCATCCCTTTTAACTCAGAACACTCCATTTCAATTCACAACCCTACCAGCCTGAGAACATTGACTACGGCCTTAAAGCAGTGAAAGAGCCAGCAGAATATAGCAGGGACTGAGTGAGGTGCATTTGTAGCCCAGCAGACATCTTATCTGGTAAGTCTAGACACATCCTGCTGCACCATATGGAGACAGCAGCCTGAGTCCAACAGCAGAACAGAATCAGCCAAGCACAGTGCCTGAGTGAAGAACAGCTCCTGGTAGCCTGGCAACCAGTGGAGCTGCTGCTTCAACCACTCTGCAGCATGAACACCAGTTACTTAAATACAGCCCAGCCTGGCCTCCAACATCATCCTGAAGGAACAGTGCTTTGATAATTCTCTTCTCTTTGTGGAACATCACCCCTCAGGACTTTTGCAGGTATTCTTTAACCCCTCATTTGTATGTGGCTAACAACTGCAGCAACATTTATAAACCTTGAGTTTCATTGCTTTCTTTATTTTTTAACTATGAATAAACTACAACTAAGATAATCTTGCAGGCAAAACTAGCAATATTTAAGATAATAAATGATCACTAGTAGCACAAAGGCCTTTTAAAGCCTAAAGTTTAACTCGTTTAAATAATACAGTGAAATACAGTTTTAAATAATGTTTGAATTAAGAGGTTAGCTAACATAAAATAATTTACTAAGACAGCTTCTGTACAGACAAGAACTGTAACTTTGGGCTGTGGCAGGACTGAAGTACTCAGCAGCACTTATTATTTGATGATGCCTACCTTTACAAAGGACATTCCCAAGTCTGTAAGAGTATGCAGTTCACAAGCAAGTGATAAAATAGGTGAAATGAAAACTGGAAGGAGCCCTAAATGTTTGGGTTTATACTATTTTTGGCAATCTTCAAATAAAATCTATTTCCTACCCAGGTGACATCTTATAATGCCAATTTTACCAGAAATTTCAACTCAATTACTCAATCTAGTGATTTGAAATAACAGTCTCAAAAAGAAGCAATAAAAAACACCAATTGAAAAGTTGATTTCTTAAGGGCTTTTAGGCAGGAGGCTATTTCAGACAGCAGTTATGAAAAGCCATTTAAAGAATAGTCACCTGCTTCCATTAGTGCCAGCAACCCTTTCTGTAGCTTATACTTCCCTCTCTATCTGCTTAGCAGCACATGATGGCATATGACCAGTGTCACAACATCAGTCACAACACCAGATGTCAGGATACAGAGTCCAGAGAGAGCTGGCATGGGCCAACCCCTTCCCAAATGCAGAACTAGTGAAAAGCCCTGCAGACAGCCTATCTAGAATTGAAGTTTTTATGATGTGGAATGCACAAGCTTACTCTTCTCATGCATTCTAGGTGTACATACACTATGAATATATGAGTAAGAACAAATTGTTCAAATTTCTTAAAATACAGTACTTAAAAAAAACCCCACAACATTATTTGGTCTATCAAATTGTTATTTCCAATTCAAAAGTGTACTCAGTTTGAAAACGTGGAGCACGTGCAAATTTCTGTCTGGGCTACAGCTGCATTTCATGCATACAAAAAAAGCCCAGCCCAACCAAACCCCACCTCCCCTCCACCCCACCAACCCCCCAAAGTTCATAACACAAACTACCAGCCTGCAGTGCCTCCAATGACATGTTCCCATGAGACAGCACACACAACCCACCTCTGAGAGGCATGGGCACTTAAAGACTGGTTTTGTAGTAACCTTATTAGAAGTGATTTTACTTGTGGAGACTGCACTTTGAAGTGCTGCAGGCAGAAAAGCAAAGCTAAACATCTCTGCAGGAAAAAATAACCATTTTGCAAGATTATCCCCCAAATAGTTTAGTTGGACAGACTCAGTTGTACCATAGCTATTATGATGCAATAGATTACATACAAGTTACTTGAATGTAACTTTATGAATAGTCCTATGACAAGACATTACACACAGCAGTATTTTCACACTAGAGCACCTAAAACACTGCAGAAAGCTATCCAGGCAATGGCTAGGTAATTAACATCTGCTACTTATTCACACTTGGTATTTCAAGATAAACTTTCTTTTTTCTAGATATCTTTTTCCAGTCTTTCTGCAAAAACAATGGCACAAGAACATTTTGAACTTGCAACTATTACACAGGCAAGGAAGAGTAACAAAAGTAAGTGCCAGTGGTTACGTAAGTCTAAATTGTATTCAGATATTTTTAGAACACATTTGTTTTTCATACTAAGCCATATGCCTAATCAGACTTTCCAGCTTGCTGTTCCAGTGCAATGCAACCCACTAAACTCTTCCAGGCAAACAGCTGTGTGGATCTTGCCTAACCATCCTCCTTCTCCATTCAACCAGTGCCACAGCATTCCACATGGCTAAGTTAGGGATAACCTTTTAATGCATCATCTCTACACTCAGCTCACGCCTAAACCAACTCCATGGTGAGGTCAAATGAAAAAAAACAGAGGATTATTTTTAAAAGGGCAGCTTGCTACAATGCATACAAAATTTTGCTACACTGTTTCTTTGTAGTCTACTTTCATTCCAAGGTTAGTATAAACACACATTGTTATTAAACACACATTTTATTCAGATACCATCACATGGCTAACCACCAAGAAGTATGTAGAAGTTGTCACAGCAAAAATGTCAAAACAAGACAACTGTTTCCAATGCCATAGTTGTGCTGAAATAACATTACGAGCTAAACTAGAAAGAAATTGACAGGCACTCAAAATCTAACCTGGCCCAAAGACAGACTGTTGTCAAACATCTGTTACAATTCAGCTATTACTTCCAGCTGCAAAGCCTCCAAAGATGACTAAGTGAACCAGCAAGGATTTGTTTTGACTAAACAACTCCATGCTTTTAGTAAAGTCTATTCAAACCTTCCGCTGAAAAAAGAAACAAAAACAAAACCCAAGCCTAACTGACTTGAACAAGGATTCAAGATATTTTTCAGTGAGCTGAGGACTGAGATAAACCAAAACTCAACACCTGAAACTACTATAAAAAGTCCACTTTTGTCCTCCTCTACAGAAGTTTAGACCAAAAGTAACTCCATAGGTCAGCAGTGTTACATGGCTTTTCACTTTCTTTTGAGATGAGACATCACCCTTACAACCTATTTATTAAAAGGGAGTGAATGCTAACATCTTATTGAATCTCAGGCATATGTGGGGCTTTCTTTGTATTTCCACATTCCAGTCTTTCAACAATCCTGTTATTTAGTGAGTGAAAAAAGATGGAAGAGATTGAATATTTCTGAAAAATACATTACCCTTGATCCATGCTAATGGCATGGCTGTCTCAAAGGTGAAAATGAGGTTAAAAGGCTCATTTTACTTTAAACAAACTCTTGAAAAAAATTAATGCTTAAAACTTCTGACACTGTAAAGAGCTTTCTGTGAAATTTGAAAAAGAGCATGGGTAAAGATTACATACTTATGACCACAGTAAATGATGTATAATTTTCAACATTATGCTCAAGTTAAAAATACTATTAAAATAGTGTTTGTTTTGGCTTGTTATTCCTGCTTTAAAAGCTGTGCTTACAAAGGTATTATGGGGTCATGTGCAAGATTCTGCCTGTACAGCTCAGTCTCAGGTCTCCTCTTTATTTGACAACCACCATAATGGACTGCACAATGGTTTCACACCCCTAAAATGTGCGTTTGAAACTTGACTTCCTTCAAACACATACAAAATGAACAGCCAGTTTCTGAATCAATACTTTCAAACTAAAAAACTATTTTCTTTTTCAGAAAAGCTTTCAGAACCCTGCAATCACAAATACGAAAAACATCCCCAAAATTCAGGAAGTTTTCCTTTCTTCACAAAAAAATTCCATGCTATATTGTTTACATCAATCCTGTTCATTTCTGTTCTAGGTAAAATCAGAAGCTTTAGAACAGAACTTACCCATTTTTACTAAACACCCGTAGCCATGCTTGTATGTTTGGTCCCAGCATACACAAGCACTGTAAAGTAGTGAAGGTAGACAGGAGAACTGCAAACAAAAATGTCTCAGCCACTGACCTACAAAGAAAGAATATTACAAAATTAAGTGAGGTAGTCACTGATTTTCTAAGACTTCCAAGATGCAGGAAAAAACCAACCCTCTAAGTCAACTTGTGAAAGCATGGATGCTTTTCTGAAACCTCATGTAGAAAAAAATATTTTCTTTTTACTCTGTAGAATAGTAAAGAAAGATGGAAAGAATACTGCTACCTGTTATCTCTGTGAAGACCAAAACACAACAATTATTTTAAGTGCCTGACAAAAGTGCCAGTTTAAAAAATTCACATAAAACATGAGTTCTGAATTGAAGTACACTTGGATATTTACTTCATGATTCTGTTTATTTTTTCTAGCTTGATGCAACCATGAAACCACATGATGCCAATTAGTAACTCAGTCTCTCTCAGAAATCAGGCTGCTTCAAGTCTCTCCTCTATTTTTTTTTTTTCAATCCTAAAAATGAAAACTCTAATAAGAAAATGAGGAAAGATATGCAAGATGCCCATTTACAAATCTTGTGGGGAAAATGACAAAGTGAAATTTGGAAAAATGTTTGTACCTGTATGTTTAATACAAATATTAAAGTAAAAGGAGTTCTAACTGCCCTGAACAATGCATCTCCAAATACACAGAAATCATAAAAGCTAGCCTCTAAAAGAAAAAAACAAACCAGCCAACAAAAAAAACAAAACCCACAAATAAAACCCCAAACCAGCCACCCTTCTTCCCCTAGCCAGGAGCTTATTCTTTAACTTCCAGTAGTACCAGGAATGATACAAGTACTTATACCAGCATCTGCAAGGAGAACTGCCCCTTAAAATGTTTAGAGAAAGGCAGGGTCTTCTGACTTACTCTATGAGAGGTGCTCCATAAAGAACAACAATCGCATGAAATAGTATGCAAGACATGAAAAAGTATATACAGCATTTTAGAAATCTGGATATCTAAAAAAAGAGCAATAAAATATCAGAACAACGTTTCAGGAGAAAAGAGAACATAAGTAACAGCATCTATATCTCATCACTGACATTGTACTCTACTCATTTCTTTAATTTCACTGCAGTATCATAGCATGGCATATTTCAAAACAGTTTTCCCTATGTTTAAGATCTGAAATAATTAATGAAAAGTGATCACACTCTAATTAAAATTTTTTCATGCACTCTATTATAGTAAGGCAAACATACAAAAACTGTAACTGGAAGTCAAACAGAGGTAATTTTATTGGATATTTTTACATTTCTGTTCCACATCTGAGTGTTATGTCCATTCATTAAAAGGCAGCACTCATGGAAAATGAAACAATATTTCAAAGCAAGAAAATATGTAATATGAGGAAAAAAAAAAAGACATTCAGAATCAAATGCAGTACTTAAAATTACATGAAATAAAAACTGCTACATTTTGATTGTGGCATGTTAAATTCTAAATCTACTTGAGAAATGTCCATGAATTTCTATGTATCTGCAAAACACATGATACTCTACGAATTTAAGCAGCAGTTTCTGGGTACTCACTATACCATATAGAAGCACAGCCACTTGACAAACAGTTGTGGTTAGGTCTGTTCTGATCAGGTCACCAAAGGAAATCCATAGTTTCACTTGAACACTTTTTTTTTGAGGGAAATTTATTCCTTATGCTAGGCTAGAATGAAATCCCACCTAGAACAGGAAGCTTGCTACATTTTTAAATCACAGCTGGCTAAAATACTTGTTTTCCATAATGACTGCCCTTTCATATCCCCTTCAGTCAGCAAACCTACACAAAAGCTTTGCATACAAAGATGCTGCTTTCAGGGATGTTTGCTTAAATGTTTAAGAGCCTCCCCATCAGAGCACTAAACCTCCTCTGACTCAGCAACCTGGGAGTGCAAGGCTATGCACCTGCATTCACAGCGCTGCTGTATCCCCCCACTCCTGAAGAAGCAGTGTGCTGCTCCAAATTTGCTCTGTTCAAACCTGCTTCACCAGGATTCATATATTTAAAGCTCCCATTAAAAACTGTACCTACAAAATTTTTGCCTAGGTTTAGATGCAAATTTCTAAATTCATGCAAATCTCACTATTCAAGGAAATGTGGCCATTTGAAACCTTTTCCATGTCATTTTTCAAAATGTACCAATTTTATTTGAATTGGAACGAGCTAATCTCTCTCTTATGTCTCAAATTCTAAAAATTATTTCTTTTCCATTAAAATTATTAGAAACTTTTTCTCTTCCATTAGAGTGATTAGAAACTTAAAACTATACATGTGAAAAGTGTTTCTTTGGAACACTAAAGGTCAGGCCTGGACTATGAATCGATTTCTGCAGCCATTCCGGTTTTTGCTGCCATGAGAACTGTTGGAAGAGCAACGGTTGGGCCGACAATCAACAACATATCGACAGGGAAAGGCACCGAATCGCTCACGTGAACGGGCTTTTTACAGGCAGAGAAAGTCTGGCATCATGAAAACGTTGGAGAGTTGATTTTTAAAAGGTGCTACACTCATTCATGGAAAACAAGAATTCACCACCAGAAGTTGTCTTCTTTCTCATCTGATTAATCCAGAGAAAGAACTCGCTTCCCGCCTGCACTGCCTGGTAGCGATTTAAGAATAAAAATCTTACCTTCTGAGTCAATGAACTCCTCTTAGGAGACAGATTTGGTTTAAGGACTAAGTGCAAGAGTACGTTAAGGGCACTAACACAAACCGCACATATAGAGAGCCACGCGAGGTGCGTTCCCAGAACGGTGAATCCCTCCCAGAGGAAAGGCGGGAGCACGGCCGTCAGGACGACGGAGGAGGCGCGGAGCAGGTTGGCAGCCCACAGCCTCCTCATCTCCGCGTCCTTCATCGCGCTCCCCGGCA